AACTTGATTGATTGATTGATTGACTAACGCCACTAGCCACAGTGGAGTGGTGGAGTTTACAGTAACTTTTAAAACCTCTACGGATAAATATTTCAGGATGTCTCTCATTTAATACTTTAATTTAACATACCCAGTTTAATTTGACTTGTGTTACAATAACGCAAACTTGTGCTTTAAGCATACATTACAAATGCACAGCTACTGCATTAAAACTCACAGAAACTCAAAACCCCAAACTAAGTTTTGTAACTTTCTACTCTGGGTTTATTATATTAACATTTACATTAAGTGAACTTTAGGTTGCTAACGTTAGCCCTGATGGGTACCAGAGCTAATGAACACACAAAACCATCTTTCTGAACAATATCTCAGTAGTATGCGACCCAACGTGAATTACACTGCCCAGATATTACTAGCGACTAATCAAAATAACACATATGTTTGGGAAAAGTATTATTGTTTAAGAGCATTAAGTTAGGTAGCATTGCCCAGCTAATGTCGAGTGGCTCTGTAGGTGTTAGCGAGCCAAAGCTAACGTGAGTTAAGAAAGCATCCCATCATTAGCTGAATCAAACACTGATTTGTGGACTTACTGTGATTTCTCTGCGCGGTAATTTAGCGGTAGTCCCAGTGGTGGACGATGATAAGTGGGTGGCTTTGGATACCTAAATTTTGATATGATATGTAGCGATAAAGATATAATGGCTAGCCTGCTAGCACATACGCTAACATCCTCTGCTTCATCAACTTCACTCGCTCGCTAACCTTCCTCTAAATGTCCAAATCCACTACCTCATGAATGTTACAATATCACATTAGCTAAACAAATACTAGTTTATTTGTTGGCCGTATTATACTAAACTGTAATATATAACGTTATATATATATATATATATATTATAAGATAACACGTTTACTGGTTTGCTGGCCACGAAAATAAACCAAAAAAAATCCTCTCCACCCACAACTGTACAGAGCATGCACACAATATGTGACAGGCGTGGCGCTTGTGTTTGTAAACGTATCTGGAAAAGATAGAATAACGCTAAAAACACCTACTCTGCTTTTAAACCCATGCCAATATATCACTATTTCCCTGTAAGGAACCAGTTAAAGTATTGTTGAGTATTTGTCTCGCTGTATTCTGGGCTACTTGTGTGCTAATTTGAGGGTGGGTGCTGCAGTATGCATGAAAATGTATGTTTTTCACTACAGTTCATCTGAGTTTATTAAAAATTGCCATGGTTTGATTTAGTAGTGAACAGTGAAGTAAATCAAAACAATCAAAATGTCTAAATCCCAATAAATAATGACCATTTACGGCTGGATTACCAACTGGGATCAAGTGTGCAACAGTTAATTGGCCCCAGACTCTCAGTCTGAGAATGAATCAATCTAGTTGTATGGCCAGTATTTCACTGTGGGTTGGCTGAAAGCTGCAATGTGTAGTCTGCTGTGTGAACTGTGCCTGGTGGGTACTTAAAGATGACAGGGTATATGCTACATACTCAAAGGGTTGGAGTAATTGGGGAGGCATTAAGAGCCCACTGCCCTTTATTGCCCCAAGGCCACAGAGCAAGTCAATATGACCACGGCAATCACATGCTGAACTAGCTTTAACTTAATAGCTTTTAGATGTATTCCATTTTCTGGACATCTTATAAAATGGAACACAATTAGATGAGTCAATTATAGTTACAATAAAATTTCAAAATTACAACAGGACAGCTATGAAATGCAATCACATTAATGTTTCCTCCCCGTTCTCCTCTCATAAAAATCTATGTTTATACATACACTAAATTGGCGACAGTGATACACAGTGATACACAATAAGAGTCAAAAGAGAGATATCACAAAACCCCTACCTGTGGGATGCTGGAACTCAACTCTTACTGAAAAGCTTTACGGATAATCATACATCACTTATAAAGTACTATTTTAGAACATTTCCAAATCTTTTTTATACATGTCAAAATATGGCGTGTCACCAGAGGGTTATCGACATAGAAATAAGTTGGTTATAATACTAGTTCATATTTTCTGGGTGCATGAAAGTGTCTTAACAATTTTTATAACCTTAATAAGACTTCTTCATATTACATTAAACTCAATTTGCAGGCAGGTGTAGGAAAGCAGCCCTCTTACCCTCTTTTATGTTGTGGTGAGTTTGTAATATAAAATCTCCCCCTTGTGGTTATAATACAGCATGACATTACAGCATTAAAGACAGTCCCCTGTCCAAATTTCTCACGCTCTCTCTTCCATATCTCCCAATGAGATTAACCATGTGTTTATAATTTAAAGTTGGCCACCCATGAACAACAATAGCTTTGTTGCTAAAAAAGTGACGAACAAAGCTGCCATCACATGAACCTGCTGAAATGTGTTGTTGACATGGATCCCTTTTCCAGACCATGCAGACGTTTGGTAAAGGAACTGATACATTATGAAAAAGCAGCTTTTCAAATGCAGTTTAATGGATCCTTTCTTCAACAGTCATTATGATGAGCTTGACCTGTCCCTAGATTTTTCTGCCTTTGAGGAAATAATAACCCAGATGATCAGATATAGCATGAACATACCATTTGTACACAGATATTAAGCACCATTTCAAAAGCAGCTGTTTAGGTGTGAAGTGTAAACTAAGGTTTTGGAGAACCAATCAAATTTTGTTTATGTATTTCATAAAGAAAAACGCATTTATTGTTTTTACAGTAGGTGTAAACAGAAAGATATATTTGTAATGCTGTTAGCTATTTTAAATGTAGTAATTAATTCTTAATAAAGCTTTGTTTAAACAGTGGGTGTATAAAATTAAAGCCAGTAAAACAGAACATGATGAACTGTCAAGAACACATATTGAATATAGTGAAGAGTGTTCAAGCTGACAAAACACACAGAAAATCAGGAGAACATAAATTAGGTGCAAAACAACCTATCCAGTAGCCACTTTACACCAATTCTTTAATACCTGTCTGATGAAGTGAGAGTTATGTTTCTACATATTGAACCTTTATTATAGTTTTAAATAAGGCTCACACTGAGAAATCAATTTGTTCACTGCCAGTCGATATCTCTGCCCTGCACACTTGGCCTATGTAAATCTGTGTGCCGAGCGAGGATCCCATTAAGTTAGAAAGTTCCACAGTGTTATTCCATTATGTTATCTGCTTCCGACTGTTAACAGCAGAAGCTAGGTGATGATGTGACATGTATTTTTTTCCGTTTGTACTGTTGCTGTGGCCTTGATAAGGGCGTCCGCATGCCCGTGTCAGAAAAAGGAAGTGGGAGGGTTCAGAGGGCACCAAGCAACCTGATGGCAGGATTGTCAATAGAGCTTGTTGGCGTTGGATACCAGGAATCTGACACCACCTTCTCACAAATGCTGCCACTTGGAGTGGCGTCTCATCCTGAGTGACGGTCTACAAGACTCCAGGCTCTGACACCTCGTTATCACTATGGCATGGAAGCGGGCAGAGAGAGGCCCGCCAGGCATGTGACGCTAGAGGGATGAGGATTAAGGTTGTTAGAATAGGGAGTGCAGTGATTACCTGACAATAAAACAGTGTGTACAAGAGATGAAAAATTGGTCAATGAATATATTTGTTTTCAGATGTTTTATTTTAACAGCCATAATAAGATTAATGTTGGTGTGAGAACCAAAAGCAGGATATGAATGGCTCGGGCATAAAGAAATATTTCACAGCAGTTGACAGCAATGTTAGGTAAGAGAAATTGTGCATTTTTCAGACAAGAAGCCCCAAAGAGCTCCAAGACACCGTGAAAATCCTCTTCTGGTCAAAAGCCATCGAAAAAATATCTTTTCTGCAAGCTTGGCAAGCAAATAAGAGGAAAAAATGTCACATTCGTTAAATCATTTCAGTGGCTCCAACATGCCATAGGGCACAGAAACAAATGATACCATTTACAAATCTTCAGCATGTATATCTATATCTGCTAAGCAATTTGGCAAGACTATGATTCAATTACAGCTGAGTTTAAGAGATTTTCATATTTGAAAAAACATACAGCATACTAACGGTAGTGCAAATCATTGTAATCTGGTAGCCTACCCTAAGATGTAGATTTCTTTTGAAAGAACATTTCAGTTTAGATAAGCTGGAGCTTCTCAACTTCAGGAATAATTTCTGCCAGAACAAAATGTAGATGGAAAAAGGGAGAAAGGTCTGTGATGAAAAGTGAGCCAGCAGTGCGAAACCTCACTTTTGTTAGATTCTGTACCTGGAAACTTTGCACTCAGGGTACATTTTATGTACTTAAATCTCAAATACATTTTTCCAAATTATTCAGACGGCTGGTATCGTAAGTGCGGAAGTATTTAACCTTTTGACTTGCCCCTAATGACATGGAGCTCACTTCATCTGAAAATGGTTGAAGGAAGGAATATTTACCCAGAGATCTTGTTTTGACTGTCACTGCTGCCATATTTGCAAGAATATGACCTGTTACTGTCATTTACAATCTACAAAAATCTGCTAAATATTATAATAATAAATCACAACAGAGTGTTTAAAGGGATTTGCAGCATTACTTTAAAAGCATTGTATTCTACAGTAAAATAATAATAACTGATTTACCTTTATACAATTACAAATATACATCATGTAGCACAGATTTGTGTCCATCCCTACTTTACAACTAAGTCTAGACTCGTGTTTTTACACACCACTGTATGAGATCTTAGATACTGTGGATAGATAGATAGATAATGATAGGATAAAGATACGACAGATAGACAGATAGTGATAGATACCATACGATACACAGATAGAAGCATACGATAGAAGAAGATAACGATGGAAGATAGATAGATGTTTCTCAGATGATGATTATTTCTTTGGCTCCATCAGTGCACAGTCTCTATCTCTGTGTAATAGCATCACTTTAAGGACTATCTACAGCCACACTCTGCCACCACCATTCCCTCATACTTGTGGTTGAAAGTGATCACCCCGTTATCATGATAAAGGAGTGAGATCGGCTCCAATTTAGTGGGTACACAGCAGGCACGCGATGCCTTCTCTGGACTCTTAACACTCAGCAGTGTCTGCACTATGGCATGTTTGGTAGGCGAGACCTCGGAGGTCATAGGTGGGTTGCACACGCCGTTGCACTCATATGCCTCATAGCCCAGAGGCTGAATGATCCACGTATCCCAGCCAATGTCTTTAAAATCCACAAAGAGCGGGGTCCTCTTGCATGGTTCGCTCTTAACATTGCGACGGATTCGGGGAGGTGTGTCATAGATAAGGTTGGACTGCAGTTGTGTGAGAGACTGTTGGTCCAGCCTGTCCTGGTTAGCACGGCCAGTGTTGTGATTAACATGCCCCCAGAAAGCTTGCTGGCTCATGTTTTCAGGAAGGTCATTCTCATGTTCAATCATCTGGTTGAGCTCTTGCTTATCCTGTTTGTGGTCTCTGCTCTGATCATCTGAGAATACAATCATCACTGCATTGTGTTTCCCCTCCAAACTCCTGTCGATATCAATCTCAACCAACCTCCCGCCCTCCTCTTGTGTGGCCCCTTCCTCCTCTGACTCCAGGCTTGCAATATGAACCTCCAGTCTGTGAGTTGTACACCCTGACTTCAGCCAGAGTGTAACCACATGAGTCAGGTCAAATGACACCCAGCTGTTATCTTTGGCATGGATATGCTTTGTCACCAGTTCCTCCAAATCCTTCATCTCCACCACCTCCTCTTTAGCCCTCCTTCTCCCTTCTTTCCCCACCTCTTTTGTCCAAACAAGGCCCTCATGTATTTTGTAGATGGTCACCTTGCAGTCAATGCCAGCATATGGTCTTTGGGCCTTCCGGACCAGTGTGAAAAGGCGAAGCTCAGCTATTGTTATGTGCTCATGGTGGCGCATTGAGATGTTGAACAGCAGAGGATGTATCCTTACACTTCTGGCTGTTATACTGTTTGGGGAGGAATCTGAAATCAAAATATCAATAAGTGTGCCTCAGTGCATTTTGTATGTTTCTGTGGTCATATCTCAAGTTGAACTAGATACAATATTAAAATGCACCCTTGTATTAAATACACAGTTTCCATTATAGATGTGTTTGGTTAGTTTAAATTGTAGGCTTTATTCAAGTGCAGTTTCATAGTTTCAATGAAAACAGTTGACAACTTTCAGACTTACAGAATATTGACTTTCATAAATAAAAGTAGTCAAATATTTTAAAACATTAAATTAGTAGAACGTCAAACATGGTCCCAGTGATCTGAAAGCTAATCCTTCAAATCTGTTTTACGTGTTATATAAAAAAATACAATGTTGAAGAATGTTTATGCAATATATACATTTTCTGTGATTTTTGTGGCATTAAACAAAATCAAGTTTGTACCTTCATTCTTGAAACTGCGCACAATGTTGGCCGAGGGCACAGCAGTGTGGTCATGGGCGAATCGGTTGTACAGCTCCAGCATGTACTCTGGTGTCTCCTCACGGGCAGCAAGGGGCCTAGGCTGGGGCCTCAGCTCTGTGAGGTTCATTGTGGACAGAAAATGGCTCAGAAAGTCCTGTGCATCAAGTAGCGGATTATCACCCACACCCCTACCGACTGATGTCCTGTGATGGTTCTCAGGAGACCTGATGGGACTGCTCAAGCTCAAACCAGTCAACATCAGAAGTACGACATTCAGAGAGCGGATAAACCCACCGTTGGAGAAGACTGAAACAGTCATAGTTGGAGTGGAGCAAAGGTTTAAATCCAAAGATTCAGTATCAGATGAGAAGATGTGATGGATCCTTTAGAGTGGATACCTGTAACCACTTTAACCTTTCGAGGAAGGACTGTCCTTCATTAAAGGACAACAGATTGCTGTGGGGGGCAATGAGAAAACAGCTTTGCCCTTGTTGATCTTGTGGTTTGGTTCTGAGGGCAGGGCTGTGCTGTCCAATGTGCTGTGCTGACATGTTTAGAGATGTCACCAAGGACCTGCTCGGCCCTCCTCTCTCTCTCTCTCCCTGTCAGAAACTTATGGCTATCCATAATTTCCTCTGATATTCATTTTTATGTATGCTTTTCTCTGACAACACTCGCCGTAGTGATTTTAGATTGACATGACAGTTGATTTATGATCTGCTATATGCTGCACCATGTTGATAAGGAAGAGATAAGGAAGTCATTGCAATTGAGTTCTCCAAAAATGTGGGACAGATTAAGCATGGAAATGATGTTGTGTGTACTACTTTCCTGTCTAATTCAGAAAATCAATTGACAATTTACAATATTGTTAATTTATGCTTAGCAATCTCCCCAAGAGGCCAGTGTAGACTCAATATCTGTACCTCTGCCTCTTCCATATAAAATTTAATTAACATTTTTAATCAGGTTGTGAAGATCTCATTTGCATATGCTTTTAACTAATTACTGGTTTTGTTTTCTAATAGTGGCTTTCTGACACCTCACATATGTAATTATTACCATAATTTCACCATACACCCACTTAAACAAATAAATGACAACAAATAAAAAGTAATGAAACTAATTTTAAAAAATAATTTTAGATCATTGTGACCTAAAACAAACCTGTCTACGACATAACACCTTTCAGCCAATCCAATCATCACTGTATATAAGAAATATTATGCCTTTACATGCAGATATACGTGGATATATGAACCCACAGTACACACGTTTATCTTAAATGCCACCACTTATGCAAGTGGGCTCTGCAGCCTGCAGGAGGAAACATGACTAATGCCGACACATTTTAGCCCTCTCAGTGGCTGTGTGCAACATGCAAGTTCAGAAGTTCATAATCACTGTGGATATGAGGTTATGTGAATGTCTTGACAGTTTAATGTATTGTGTGCATTGCTATTCTGTTTGAATGAATTACTGAAAATCCATTACTGGGTCACTGTTTAATCACTAGATGCATAAAGTCAGAAGTGTAGACCCAATATTTTTTAAATCACTTTTCGGCAACTCTATGATTAATGAAATATTCAATCAGTGCATAAAAGTTACAATTACTTTTTTTTGTATATTTTTTAATGTAATTCTACATATCAGTCAGTATATGGCAGTATTGTTTTTTTTTTTTACAAAGAACTGAACACATGCTGGGTACAGACAAAGTAATCTCTAGAATTCCTAAAAAAAATATTTTACCTCTGAAGTAACTATTATCACTGTAGAGTTAGGCCATATTATTGTTTCATGCCAAATAACTATATGTAAAACCATTCTTACTGTATAAAAGATGTCCGACATATTCCTGTTTGTTAGTTTCAACCTGTGACTGTTGGGACAGTGGGACTTGAGTATGTTTCCCTTGAATAGTTAAATAAATGTGTCTTTTTTTTTGGGCCAATGCACGTGCAGTTTGGCACAGATGTGGCCTCTGATAGGCTAGTGGTTTTAAATCTTGCATATCATTGTACATTGTAGCACATACAATTGGAGTTGTTTAACTGGCAAGCTGCTTAAAGGGTACTCACTGATCAATTGGATGAGGACATAAACTTCATCTGTAATACAAAAAGAGAATACAAATAAAAATGAGAAATTATGCACATCATTTATTTTCATTTGTCATTCAACATCGCAATGCAAAAAGGACCACTGCAAAGCAGAGTTGTATTGAATGTAGGTTCACTTATCAGTATTGGCTAATACACAGCAACAACTTTTAATTAATAACATGGGTATTACAATAAATATTACAATATAAATACCTTCATTTAGAATATTAACAGTCCTTTGTTACACATTTACAATCCCATTTTGCCTATCATGAAAACAAATGGAATAGAGAGAATTTTCCAATGACTGCACAGTCTGATGGCAGGTTTGTCAAGAATAAACTGAATTCCAAAAATTTTTAATGTTTTTGATGACTAGGCTGACGTCAGCCATAATCCTAATTATCTCAAACACTGACCTAAAATATTATTTAAATTATTTCATATCAGAATTCACCCCAGAATCCATGGGGAAGACAGATCCACATGTCACTTTAGGCCTTAATAGCTTGACAAACTAGAAGTATTATAAATGATCTCATATTTGTGTAGCAATAAAATTCAAACTGTATATGTTATATATTCTTTGGAGTCATGATTCTTGCATATTTAGGCTATTTGAGATGTCATACATCATGAGCTTCAGACAGACAGTATCATCCTAAACGACAAAATCCATCAAATCTATTTCCAAATAATCTCAATTATAAATACATGTAAATGTTTGGCACATTATTTCCTGTAAACAAAGGAAATTCTTTTTTACTGAATGTGTTTCTCTGTTTGTACAAGAATGAGCAAATGGCACAAATCCGTATTTCACCAATGGAAAGTGTCTCTACAGGATTTAACTGGCTTTACTGGCCGTGTTGTCATGTTTACACCCAGGAGTCCAGTGGTGGAGGTTTGTTATCCATGAGGCCCACTGCAGGCCTGCCAGCTCTGATGAAGTGTTTTCTCTCACTTATCGCCTAGGACAAGAAATATGCAAACCGCCGGTGTTAGTCACTTTGTATAAAAAGTACTGACAGATGCAAACACAAGTCACAAGAAAGTAATCATTTTAAATGAAATCATGTAAAACAAAACTATTACAACATCTGCTTATCCTCCATACTAGGTTTATATGCATTCAGTGCATTCAAGTGGTAGATTACCTGGAGAGTGTCTCTTTCAACAACAGGCCCTTTTCCTTCTCCAACTCTGTCATTTGGCTCCAAGCTGGAATATACATCTGCAAAGGAAAATTACAATCATATTATAAATCATAGATGTAAGATGAAGGGAAGTCTTTGAAATGCATTAAAAGAGAAAAAAAACAGATGTAAATCAGTTTATAGGGAAACTTTTGTCCACCAGTCCCCTCTAAAAGGTAACCTGCTATTGGAAACTGTGAGTGCAATCATTTTAGAATAAAACTATTCACTCCTTAAATGGTAAAATAAGGAACCAGGGTTCTATAACCCAAATCAAAAAACCTTTTGCCACAAAAGGTTAATTATTATAATATATTATATTATATTATCAGTTACTTGTCAGTTAAAAAATAATCATACCAGTAAGCTTGTAAGCTGGATGATGTTTTGGTTTTCCCTCAATACAGTAAAGTTACATGTATAACTTCAAAAAAAGTTGTAATAAAGTTATAAGTAAACAAAGACCTGGCTACATTAGTCAGCAGTTGTTAATAAATGTGGCTCAATTTTAGCCTGAATGTCTTTGTATCTGTGTCTTTTTGTCCTTATTTCTTAGAATACCAGAGGAATGTTTGTTTTTATACTACTACTGATCTAAAGACAAAGTTTCCTGTACTGTGTAAATGAGGTAGTATATTTTACCATTTACCTCCAAACACCAATTCTAGAAACACTTCAATACAATTACAAATATGCAACATATTTTACTGTTACTGTCTACAGGAGCCTATCAACCCTACACCAACAATACTTTTGCAGAACAGGCCAGTCAAAGAAGCTGTACAAAAGCAGCATTACATTGCAGAAGCTGGAATAAATGAATAGTTGGCAAAATGGTTGCAAATGTTAATTTATTAGCATTTAATTACTGTATTTGGTGTTCTATATTAAACTGTTTAGGGGTGCCACATAGGACTTTATAATGTTTGATATAGAATATAATAATATTGCACTTTTAAGTGAAACACGTTTCCAGAAGGATACATCTATTCATTTAGACTGCAACATCAGAGAGAGAAACGGGCAAAAGCAATGAAATAATTCATTGAAAGTAGTTTATACCTATTCCCTCCAAATTCATATTTTAAAGTGTATTTAAGTTGTGTTTATAATTCATAAGGAAGCCTTAAGAGAAAATCCCTGTTTCACTGGGAAGCTAGAGGTCGCTCTTGACGTGGGAAAGCGGGTGCCCTTTTGGAATAGTGTTCAAACAAAATGTGACTGGTGATGCGTGAGCCTGCCCTACCTCTGGGAGAGACTGTTCAGGCTAATAAGCCAAGTCTGTGCACTGATAACCTTGGTAGCACATCATTGGTTCAAGGCTATGTTTCAGAAGAATATGGTCCGGGACTGTAAATGCCTATTTCTTTGTCCCTGACATGACAAGAACCACAGTATGTTTAAAAGCTTTTTTTTTCTCTCCCTGAGCTGGAGGACACTCTTCTCATTTAGATGATGGTTTAATAACATTTTGCTGACGGAATGCATGAAATGCTTTGCTGACCTTGGTTTTTGTCCATGAGAGGCAAGGTGATGTCATCGCTGCCTTGCTTTCCACTCTTGGAGTTTTTAGTCACTCCAGTAGTTGTTGGCTTTGAAAGACAAAAAGGATTATGTTAATGGTTGACAACCTGAATTTTATGCTTTCCAGTTCTTCTAATTTTACAGAAGGGCATTACATTGGTTTTGATTAGACTGAGTTGCACTCAGTCTTGGACAGTAACACATCGTGTTTTGGATGCAACAGGAGACTATAAGCTCAAAATTCATTTATTCTCTTTCACTGTCCCCACTTCCCTTTTTATGTGACAAAACACAGATTTCACAGGTGACTTTATGTTGTTTTTTTTTCTTTTCTTTTCTATGTTTGACAACTACGTTATATCTTGACACATATTAATACTACCAGACATAAAGAGGTTTGTATAGTCATGCCACAACAAAATAAAAGAGGCTTTATTTAGTTCATTATGCATGCTGTCTCTGTCTTTGTTATTGGCCAACAAAAAGTAACA